GTTGCGGTGACGAGCAGAGAATACAACCCTAGAGTAGTACAGCTGGCTTGTAGGTGTAGACTCGGATGTCCCAAGTTTCACAGCGATGGGGATCGTTCGTAGTGCCGGGGTTTGTGGCGTGGCCTCCTGGCCATTTTTCTTCCTCTAACCACAGAGTTTCACACTCCCTCCTGGGGACGTGCCCTGCCTGCTCATCTGTGAGCAGGAGCAGCACCTCCCTGTGAAGACCAACGTGTAGGAGGAGATGTTTTTTTGTGGAGGTGTCCCTGTTTACTAGTTTCAGAGCATGATGTTTAGCAGCTGAGTGAGCGTCCTTCCTCCCTCCGTCACAACTCAGCAATTAAGCCGTTTTCCTTCCATACATCTCTCTTGCCTGCGTTGGAGAAAATGAGCCCAGAGAGAAAAGAGAAGCTCTACGGAACTATTTAGGTTCTGATGTGGTTGTTATCGCCTCGAGTAGAACCACCAAAATCTCCCCGCTCTCCGTAAGATTATTGTGCATTTCCGCCACATCCACACTGTTTCCAAAGCGTTGTTGGCCAAATCCTGCGAGGTGCTGAGCCGGGAGTGAATTCCTCCCACAGGAAACATCAGGCATTGTTGATACACGCGAACGTCCGTGATTTATAGCGAGGTTCGTCGTGTCATAAAAGAGGCATAATAAAAATTAGTCCTGCATGACTTGTTTCGAAGAACATCATTACGGCACCGAGTAATAACGCATTACTGTGCAAGAAGCCAGAAGGGAGGAAGTATGTATGGCAACGGGGACAGATCTTTTATTTGGTAAATTAGTATCGCTGCATATGGGCTGAAAATCTCGAAACATATGCTGATGTACCCTGACGTCCTGGCATGTGCTCCGTGTCGTCGGTAAAACCTGGTGTGTGCCAACACATCGAGCGTGGATGGGCGGGCTCGTGCCTGAGCGGTGCCAACGTGATCTCTGCTGGCGGTTGGAGGGTGGATTTGAGCACCCAAGGCCTGAAGAATTTTTTTTTTTTTTTTTTTTTTTTTTTTTTTTTTTTTTTTTTTTTTTTTTTTTGACTGTGACGCTTCGAAGCTGCATTGTGTGATTCGTCGGCCGGATGAAAAATGGAAAGGGCAAATTTCGTTAATGGTCCTCAGGAAAGGTAATAGGAGCTGCTTGTGCAGAAAGGAGCATTTTATTTGACCGTTAGTAGTGAGCTACCAGTAACTCGTCCAATCTGATACTTATTTGGGACAATAAATAACACCTATTTCATATCTCCATGAAGGTCCTCTGCTTTTTTTTTTTTTCCTGCCTGTTGGAAAATAAACCAAAATCTAATTATTTGATGATTTGATTCTTGTCTCACCAACTCTCATCCATTTGATCACTTAATGTGGGACGATGAGAGCTCCTGGATTCATGTCCCAGCACCTTCCCGGCGAAACATCCCGCTGCAGGTCAGCGTTGCGTTTTAGAAGCAACATGGAGGATGGGTGATGAAATCCATCATTTTCGTCATGAAATTACAGAGGAGGTTTTTTTTTTTACTCCTATGTGAAATGCAGATTTTTTCCTTGCGTTCCCCTCTCCAGGCACGTGCTCGGTGGTTTAACGTGCCTCGAGACAGATGTGGGCTTCAGGCCCCGGGATCCCTGCGCCAAACTTTGTAGAGAAATCAGGATCTTTACCTCCAGCCTTGGCTGTTTCCCTTGATCTGGAGGAAAACAGCTCCCGGTTTACACCCACGAGCAGGTTGGGACGGTGTCTGGACTGCATAATTCCCGGATTGCTTTTATTTTCCGAGTTCATCGAAAATGAATCTGGGTTGAAGTAACACCGAGTAAAAAAAAAAAAATAAATAACTCCTCTCGTCTGCAGATCTCGAGGAGGTCTGTTAAATTAGAAATGGTTAGTGATGCGTTACGAATGTCATATAATTACAAATTGGTATTTGTATGATGGCCACCGCCAAGTAAAATTAGGTAACTCATGCTCTACACCTCAACGTTTTCTTTTGGTTTAGTTGTTCTATTTCTTTCCGTAATGTACATGAATATTTTTTTTTTTTTAAATGAACCTTATAAGAATTTTTTTCAATCCCCTTTTTAACACTTAATAAACATTTCAATTACATTTTTAAGTCCACGCAGGTGCCTGCTGTGGGTTTGTAAAGAATCTCTGAGGTTTTCCCCCAGGAATGATTAGCGACCCCCTCGGCTTCCTGAGCTGCCTGCAGTCCTGCTGTTGGGAAATGAAACGGGAACGATTCTTTCAAAAGTGACTGCATTCTAAAAAAAACAGCAGATCTATCAAAATTGCTATTTCTTACGGACCTTATTTAAGGATATTTTCGGCCTCGCTTTCTCAGGTGTTAGTTGTTACATGTGTAGCACCTCTGGAATTACAGATATTCCTGCAGCGAGCTTTTTTTTTTCTCACTTAGAACTTTCACAGTTTACTCTGTCGCAGGTGTAAGAGGGGTCAAAGAGGTTCTGAATTAAAAAAAAAAAAAAAAAAAAAC